TTGCTGCACGCGGGCTTTCTCTAGTTGCGGCGAGTGGGGGCTACTCTTCGTTGCAGTGCGTGGGCTTCTCTCATTGCGGTGGCTTCTCTCGTTGCGGAGCACGGGGTCTAGGTGTGTGCGCTTCAGTAGTTGTGGCACGCAGGCTCAGTAGTTGTGGCTCGCAGGCTCTAGAGCGCAGGCTCAGTAGTTGTGGCTCGCAGGCTCTAGAGCGCAGGCTCAGTAGTTGTGGCACAGGGCCTTAGTTGCTCCACAGCATGTGGGATCTTCCTGGACCAGGGATCGAACCTGTGTCCCCTGCATAGGGAGGCGGATTCTTAACCACTGCACCACCAGGCAAGTCCCTAAAAATGCCTATTGGTTTTTATTTTGCTTTGTAGTAATAGTCTTATTGCAGCATTTTTAAAAATCAGTTCTCAAACTCTAGGGTATGTCAGAATTATCTGGCGGCTTGCTAAAAGCATTGCTAGACTCAGAGTTTCTGATTCTATAAATTTGGGGTTTGGTCAAAAATTTGCATCTCTAACAAACTACTAATGATGCTAATGCTGACATTTATGATATTGATGGTGAGGATTGCACTTTTAGAACCACCTTTTTGTTGTTGTTTTATTGCAGCGAAATACACTTAACATAAGATTTACCACGTTGACCATTTTTAAGTGTATGGTTTAGTGGTATTAACTACATTCACATTTTTGTGCACCCATCACCACCACCCATCCCCGTAACTCTTTTCATCTTGTATAACTGAAACTCTGTACCCGTTAAACAATAACTTTCTGTTTTTCCCTCCCTCTAGCCCCTGACAACAACCATTATACTTTATGTCTTTATGATTTTGACAACTCTAAGTAGCTCATATAAGTGGAATCATACAGTAATTGTCTTTCTGTGACTAGGTTATTTCCCTTAGCGTAATGTCCTCAAGGTTCGTCCATGTTGTAGCACATTTCAGAATTTCCTTTTCAAAGCTTAATAATATCCCATTGTATGTCTATACCACATTTGCTCATCCATTCTTCCGTCCATGGACACTTGGGTTGCTTCCACGTTTTGACTATTATGACCAATGATATGAACATGGATGTACAAATATTTCTTAGAGATCTGCTTTCAGTTCTTTTGGATATATAGCCAGAAGTGGAATTGCTGGATCATTTGGTAGTTGTATTTTTAACTTTTTGAGGAACTGCTGTATTGTTTTCCACAGCAGCTGTACCATTTTCCACCAGCAGTGCACAAGGGTTGCAGTTTTTTTCACATCCTTGTCTACAGTTGTTTTCTGTTTTGTTTTTTTTTAAGGTAGCCATCCTCCTGGGTGTAAGGTGGCATCTCATTGTAGTTTTTATTTGCATTTCCTTAATGACTAGTGATGTTGCACATCTTTTCATGTGCTTACTGGCTATTTGTATATCTTTGGAGAAATGTGTATTCAAGTATTTTATCAAACATTTTTGAATTGGATTTTTGTTGTTGAATTTTAGTTCTCCATATATTTTGGATATTAACCTCTTATCAGATACATGATTTGCAAATATTTTCTCCTATTCCGTGGGTTGCCTCTTTACTTTATGGACGGCATCTTGGTGTACAAATTTTTAAATTTTCATGAAGTCCAGTTTGTCAGTTTTTTGTTACCTGTGCTTTTGGTGTCATATCCAAGAAATCATTGCCAAATCTAATATTGTGAAGTCTTTGTCCTATGTTTTCTTTTAAGAGTTTTATTGTTTTAGGTCTTACATTTAGGTCCTTGATTCATTTTCAGTTAATTTTTGTACATAGTATTAGATAAGGGTTCACCTGCATTCTTTTGCATGTGGATATGCAGTTTTCCCAATACCATTTGTTGAAAAGACTTCTGTTTCTCCAATGATTGGTCTTGACACCCTTGTCAAAAATCATTTGACCATATATGCGAGGGTTTATTTCTGGACTCTCTGTTCTATTCCATTAGTCTCTGCATCTGTCTTTAAGTCAGTACCACACTGTTTTGATTACAGTAACTTTGTAGTAAGTTTTGAAGTCAGGAGTGAGTCCTCTTGGTTTTGTTCTTTTTTAAAATTGTGTTGGCTCTTTGGGGTTCTTTGAGATTCCATGTTAATTTTAGGATGGGCTTTTCTTTTTCTGCAAAAAAAGGCATTTGGATTTTGATGGAGATAATGTTGAATTTATAGATCTCTTTGGGTAGTATTGATATTTTAATAATATTAATATTTCCAATTCATGATTATGGGATGTGTTTCCATTTATTTGTGTCATCTTGAATTTTTTTCAGCAATGTTTTATAGTTTTCATTGTACAAGTTTTTCACTTCCTTGGTTAAGTTAATTTCTAAGTATTTTATTCTTTTTGATGCTGTTGTGAATGAAATTGCTTTAGTAATTTCCTTTTCAGATTGTTCGTGTGTGTAAAAGTGCAGCTGATTTCTGTGTATTGACTTTTTGTATCTTGCTGCTTTGCTGAGTTCATTTCTTCTAACAGGTTTTTCTGTGAAATCATTAGGGTTTTCTACTAGTAAGATTATATCATCTGCAGAGATAATTTTATTTCTTTCTTTACTATTTGAATACCTTTTATTTCTTTTTTTTGCCTTCCAGCAGTAGAACTTCCAGTACTGTGATGATAGATGTGACGAAAGCAGGCATCCTTGCCTTGTTCTTGATCATAGTGGAAATGTTTTCAGTCTCTCACCATTAAGTATGATGTTCATTGTGGGGTTTTCATATTTGGCATTCATTATATTGAGGTAGTTTCCTTCTATTCATAGTTTGGTGAATGTTTTTATAAGGAAAGGGTGGTGAATTTTCTCACATACTTTTTCTGCAGCAATTGAGATAATCATGTAGGTATTTTTCCTTCATTTTGTTGATGTGGCAAGTTATATTGATCAGTTTTTATGTTAAACCATCCTTGCATTCCAGGAATAAATTCCTCTTGGTCATGGTGTATAATCCTTTTAATATGCTGCTGAGGCGTGTTTGCTAGTATTTTGTTGAGGATTTTGCATCCATATTCATCAGGGGTGTTGGTCAGTAGTTTTCTTGTGGTGCTTTTGTCTGGCTTTGGTATGAGAGTAATGCTGGCCTCAGAATGAGTTTGGAAGTGTTCCCTTCTTTTTGATTTTTTGGCAGAGTTTGGTATTAGTTTTTAAAATGTTGGGTAGAATTCACCATTGAAGCCATTGGGTCTAGGGATGTTCTTTGTCGGTAGGTTTTTTGTTTGTTTGTTTTTTAAATTAATTTTTATTGGAGTATAGTTGCTTTACAATGTTGTGTTAGTTTCTGCTGTACAGCGAAGTGAATCAGCGATATATATACATTATCCCCTCCTTTTTGGATTTCCTTCCCATTTAGGTCACCACAGAGCATTGAGTAGAGTTCCCTGTGCTATACAGTAGGTTCTCATTAGTTAATCTGTTTTATACATAGCAATGTATATATGTCAATCCCAGTTTCCCAATTCATCCCACTTCCCCTTTCCCCCTTGGTATCCATATGTTCTCTGGTAGGTTTTTGATTGCTGGTTCAATCTCCTTACTAGTTATAGGTCTATTCACATTTTAATAACCATTCTTTTTAAACAGTCCTTTGCTTTAAAAATCTTATTAAAATAATACAGCATTATTGTGTTTCAAAAGAGTGTCCTCATATTCTACTGCCCTAATCCATTTGGTCATATTTCCAATGAGTATGTATCTATACATATATGTTTTAGTGAAGTCATAATGTGTGTAACTTCTTTTCATGTTCTGTTTTTTATATGTTACTTACATATTTTCCCCCACTTTTAATGTGTACTGTCCCACCTATTCCTTATTGCCCTTCTATCTAAGAGAATTATGCCCTACAATGCAACATTCTTGTTAGAAAGAGATCATGTAAGCCTGAGAAGTGTTTTAATTTGATCTTTTTTGTTTTTTTGACTGCTGTCAGTGGGATAGTTTTTTTTTTTCTTCTTCTTCTTTTTTTTTTTCTTGCGTTATGCGGGCCTCTCACTGTTGTGGCCTCTCCCATTTGCGGAGCACAGGCTCCGGATGCGCAGGCTCAGTGGCCATGGCTCACGGGCCCAGCCGCTCCGCGGCATGTGGGATCTTCCCGAAATGGGGCACGAACCCGCGTCTCCTGCATCGGCAGGCGGACTCTCAAGCACTGCGCCACCAGGGAAGCCCGGGATAGTTTTAAAATAATACTGTATTGGTCACATACTATTATAAGTTTTAATGGTTTTTCTTCACTTTTGACCTTTGTTTTTCTGAAGTTCACAAATAAGGTGGTTATATTTTCTAACTCATTTTGAACAGGTAACATCAACAGACATTTAAAACAAACCATGCATAGAAGCTACTTTTTTCCCCTGCCACTTCTAACTCTTGTCACTTTTCTTTTGCACTTTCAGGGCATAGCATGTTTACAGTGTAGTGTATAATATTTCAGTCCTACCTAAGTGCAGCATTGGAATGAAAATCTATCAAAATGATCACTAAAAACAAAGGTAGTTTAAACATCTAGTTAGTTTACTTAACTTCTTCCATCAGCTTACTGTATAATTTAGATTATTTCACTTGACTTTTTTGTAATGAGTGACATTTTAGAAAATCTGAATATATAATGGCTTACAACTTCACCCTGTAACAATGGGAAGCAAAAGGCAAATAAATTGTTAATAATAATATATTATACAGGTGTGTTCTTTGGCCAAAAGGAAAAAGAGTGTGTGGTAACTAGTGATGATTTGTCCATCGAAACCTGAAACTATTGATATTTATTGAGATGAGAAATTAATGAGATTCTGTTTTACTATTAATAAAGAGAGCAGTACGTTTTCTGTTTTTCTCATTTTCCCCCAACACAGGGAGTGGGGAAAAGCAGACACCCCAATTTATAGTTAATTTATTGTACTGAAGTAAGCTGTATATTGCTTCCAAATCTAATTTAATCCACAGTAAATAAAAATACCTTCATAAAATATTTTTAAATTTTAAAACTATGTTTCTTTAACAGATTTCTATAATCCAGGAGCTTGTTACTAATTATGAAGCCTCTCTGAAAACGTGTGACTTTTTTAGCCCTTATGGTAAGTTTAAATTAGATTGAGTTGAAATTTGATTACTCATTTCAATCCATTTTTAGTCACTTACACTATCTTATGTTTATTATGTATGTGCTACATGATAGCTGTCCCCTAAATAGTTTTTGAATTAGTGAATGAAATGAGAAGAACACTTGCAATCTTAATTAAAAATGTCCTAATCTTGTCAGGGGGGAGTTAACTCCATTTTCATATGAATAAACAGAATTGAGAGGTTGAGCAGCTTGACCAAGATCAAGTAGTTAGTTTATGTTGAAATGTATTTTTCCTGAATTCCTACTTCTTTGTTCTTTCTACTCTTATATTACTTTAAATCCTGTATAATTTGGTTCTTTGTTTTTCTGTTTGTAGGGGCATATGTAAATCAAGGCAGCTTTATTTAGAAAACACTCTAGAATGCTTTCAGTCATGCAAATGGTAACTTTGGTTTCTTCTTGCATCTTTTATTTGTTATCACCCTTTTGTTCTTGTTAGTTTGAAACAAATTTCACAATAAAATAACAGACACAGAAGTAAATAATGAACCCTCATGTCCCCATCACCTACCTTCTTTTATCAGTGTTTCACCAGTATTATTTGAAGTATCTTCTGTCGACTTTTTTTTCCTGGAGTATTTTTAAAGCAAACGTACTGTTTCCCCTGTCAGTACCTTAGTATGCATCTCTAACTGTTTAAAACACTTAAACACAAGATGTAGCCACAGTGCTGTCTTACACAAAATTAACTCTCATACCACAGTATCTAACACCCAGTCCGCATGCAAATTTTCCCAATTATTTAAAAAATTGTATAACTGGTTTATTTGAATATGGATCCAACTAAGGTCCACACTTTACATTTGATAGTTATGTCTCTGATATTCTTTTAATCTTGAGCAGTACTGTCCACTCCTTTCCATTTTTTTTTTTTTTTTTTTTTTTTAAAAAAGGCTGTCGAAAGGTCACTTGTCTTGTGGAACGTACCATGTTTTGAATTTGGCTGATTGTCTTCTCATGGTATCATTTTGCTGTCATCCATATTTCTTACAAAGTTCGAGTTAGATTTATCGACTTATTTTTTTTTTTGGCCTTGCCGTGTGGCAAGTGAGATCTTAGTTCCCTAACCAGGGATTGAACCCATGCCCCCTGCAGTGGAAACGTGGAGTCCTAACCACTGGACTGCCAGGCAATTCCCCTAGATTTACAGGCTTGATTAGATTCAGGTTCCATATGAATACTTCATACATGACACTTTGTACTTCCTGTTATATCACATCTGAAGGCAGAAAACATTCTGGTTGTCTCTCTTTTTGTGATATTAAGATTGATCAGGGTTTTGATGTTTGTCAGCCTAATCTGCCCGTTAAAAGTTCTTCATTGGCCTAACGATTTTTGCAGCCACTGAGAATCGTTGCCTTCATCCCTTATTTCATTCTAATCATCATTCCTTCTGCATTTATTAGCTGGAATTCTTATAGAGAAGTTTTTTTTTATTAGTTATTTATTTTATACATATTAGTGTATATATTGTCAATCCCAAGTAAAGAACTTTTCTTTATCAAATATTTGGTTCCCCTGAAATATAGTTTATATGAGAGGAGCAAGATAAATGCTTGGCTCTTTGCCTATGTTTATTATTTGTGTTTTAATTTTATGCTAATCTGTGTGTTTTCATTGTTGTCATTTCATTTGGTCATCTAGTCCAGGAGACCTTCTGTGTTTTCTGAGGTGGCATGAGTAAATTGTCCTTTCTGCTCTTCCTACCTCATTTTATACCTGTGTGTCTGCCCTTCTGAAATCCATTCTAAGTGCTTGGTATTTCTTTATCTACTCTTCTGTAGCTTGAGTGTACAGAATGGGGAACCAGATAGAGCTCCGCTGATTCTGTGCGAACATCTTGTCAGGAATGTGTCCTCCTAATACCCTTCAATTTTGGGTTCCCCTGATGCAGTGTCGAGGCCTACTTACAATGCTGAGTAAGCCCTGGCCATTCTTGCCTTTGTGGAAATTTTGCAGTGGTAGTTAGGGACATCTTTTCTTCAAGCTTTTTTCCTTGACTTTTTTTTCCTGGACCTGCTGCCTTATGCTGAGAATTCGTAGAGTTAGATTGATTTACCTCTTTTCCCCAAACTGTTTCTTTGGAGTGAGGTATGGGTAGAAGCCTGTGAAACCAGCATCTTGTTTCTCTGTTTGGCTGCTACTTTTTGAACTTTACGACATGAAGTCATATCTCTTTCTGTTGAACTTGGTCATTTTTGCTGGATTTGTACTGCTTATCGTAATAGTTAATTTCAGTATGCATTGGGAGAAAGAAAGTATGTGAGTTGCTCTACTTTGCTTCATTCCCTGTAATGATTTTATATTTGTTTGATTGCAGAGAATGGGGAGACAGAACCTCCAACGACACTACTCTGGGTTCAGTATTTCCTGGCACAGCACTTTGATAAACTTGGGCAGTATTCTTTGGCTTTGGATTATATTAATTCTGCAATTGCTAGTACTCCAACTCTAATAGAATTATTCTATATGAAAGCAAAAATTTACAAGGTAAAATCTTTGTCATGTTTTTTGAGTAGTTGAAGAATTTGGCCATTTTAAGGACGCTTGGAGTTCTTTCTGTGTAGAGATAACTTTTAGGACACCCTGGTAATCTATTCCTAATATTCTAATAATCCTAAGGAGTTTTATGTTATATAGTTGTATAGTCAGTATTAATAGTTTCATTCAGCTCTTAGTAAATATGAATTGTAATGTATCTAAAGATTTCTAGATAAATTTGACAGAAATGTAACAGATTTCTAATTTGTCTTTAAGAACTTTTCCCATTATATTGTACCCATATTCTCTTAATCATAAACAGTGATTTCTTTAATACTTTCATTTCTTAAAGCATATAGGTAATCTCAGAGAAGCTGCCAAGTGGATGGATGAAGCTCAGTCTTTAGACACAGCCGATAGATTCATCAACTCCAAATGTGCAAAATATATGCTTCGAGCAAATATGGTAAAAGAAGCAGAGGAAATGTGCTCCAAGTTCACAAGGGTAGGAAATAGCGTGTAATTGTCTGAGTTAGTAAAATTAAAGTTAAGTTCTGTGGTCATGTGTGAAGTTTGCTGCTGAAGTTCCTAAGAATTCACTTTTGTTATTATTATTTTTTAATCTTGTTTAGCTCACATCCTAAGTATGGTTTCTTACTGTGGTTGATGTATGTGCGTGTGCTTCTGGTGGGAGATGATTAAAAAGCAATAACAGGAGCAAAATACCTTTATACAGAAATAAGCATTATGCCATACTTCAGTGCTTATATGCAAGATTTGATTTATTGTTCTTTTGTTTCACTAGTAATTTGTGACCGCTGTTTAATTTCTCAGTTACAGTGTCTTAACTTCATAATAGCTCATAGAGTTCTTTCTCTGTAGAACTAACTTCTGAGGACTACTGGTCTCTGACATTAAGAATTTAAGTTCTTTCAAATTGTTAGGCTAAACATTTATTCCTTTGTTTCATCTTTCACCATCCTTTTCTATACAGACTTTCTGTTATATTGTAAAAACAGTACACGTTTATGGTTAAAAATATAAGGAGGCTAATGGAACAGAATAGAAAACTACTCACACATATTTGGAAACTTGGTATGTATCAGAGGTGCTTTAAAAGTCAGAGATGAAAAGATACTGTTTGGATAATTATTTATTTGTGTTGAAAAAAATAAAATGACCTCCTTATCTTACACTGCACACAGATCAGTTACAGGTGGATTAAAGATCTAAAAGCAAACCGTTTACACTTTTGGAAGAAAGTATAGAAGTTTATCTTTAGGGCTCAAGGTAGGAAACATTTCTTAAGACACCAAACACATAAAGGCACAAGAGTAAAATTGATACACTTGATTATATCAAAATTAAAGATAATGTATAACAAAAAATAATTATAAGCAAAATGACAAGGCAAACCATAGAATTGGAGAAGATATTTCCAACTCATACAAGAAGAAAAGAACTTATAAAGAAAGCCAGAGAATTCACTGAAATAGTTACACATTGAATGTAACATAGAGGCATTATGAGAAAACCATATTTCAAGTTTGATTTCCAAGTTTTAATTAAGATACTTCAAAATAAATAATTTATATCTCCAAGTGCATTAAATACAAAGTGGAGGGCTTCAGTGCTGGTGTTTGTTAAGTAAGTTGTTTAGGATGAAAATAAGTTACCACTGTGCTCTGTGATGCTAATGTATCACTGATACAGCACCAGTGTACCACCTTGTTTAAATGTTAACTAGATTCTAGTTGTGTCTGGGTGTTAAGGGTAACCCCTTATAATTTAGAAGCCACAGAATAGCTTGAACTTTTTTTTTTGGCGCCATACAAGGAGTCCAGGACAGCCAACGCTCAGAAAACCTGAAATCCTCCACACAGTTCAGCACCGCCTGTTTTATTTATTTTTATTTTTGCTGTGTTGGGTCTTTATTTCTGTGTGAGGGCTTTCTCTAGTTGTGGCAAGCGGGGGCCACTCTTCATCGCGGTGTGCGGGCCTCTCCCTATCGCGGCCTCTTGTTGCGAAGCACAGGCTCCAGACGTGCAGGCTCAGTAGTTGTGGCTCACGGGCCCAGCTGCTCCGCGACATGTGGGATCCTCCCAGACCAGGGCTCGAATCCGTGTCCCCTGCATTAGCAGGCAGATTCTCAACCGCTGCGCCACCAGGGAAGCCCTAGCTTGAAGTTTTATTGTGAAAATTTAACTACTTGCAAGAATGATGACATAGAAACATTAAATACACACACACACACAATACTCTAAGAAAAAGATGAGACAATACAAATATGGGCAAAAGAGATGAATAATTAGTTCACAGAAGTAGAATATGGAATGGCCAAAAGATATCTTCGTTAGTAATCAGGGGAAAAAACAATATATCATTTTTTACCCATGAAATTACCCAGAAATTTAAGACTGACATTACTTGGTATTGACAAATGGTTTGTCATTCATACACACACAAACACACACATGCACACACATCTCACATACATATACCATATATCTGTGTTGTGTATATATTTATGATGAGAAAGAAACAACATATGGTCTATGCATGTGATGTACATATACACATATAGGTTTAATTTTTCGTTAAAAGCTACTACTTATAGACCGTTTGTTGTTTCTCATCGTAAAAGAGCTTTTTTTTTTAAATTTTTAATTTATTTTTGGCTGTGTTGGGTCTTCATTGCTGCACGTGGGCTTTCCCTAGTTGTGGTGAGCAGGGGCTACTCTTTGTCGCAGTGCGCGGGCTTCTCATTGCAGTAGATTCTCTTGTTGTGGAGCACGGGTTCTAGCCATGTGGGCTTTAGTAGCTGTGGTGCACGGACTCTAGAGCGCAGGCTCAGTAGTTGTGGCGCACGGGCTTAGTTGTTCAGTGGCATGTGGGATCTTCCTGAACCAGGGATCAAACCCATGTCCCCTGCATTGGCAGGTGGATTCTTAACCACTGCGCCACCAGGGAAGCCCTAGGTAGACGCTTTAAAACCCATGTTTTAGAATTGTGTAGTAGGATACAAACTAGTATTTCTAAAACTCATATGGCATAGGATCAACAGTAATTGTAAAGTGGCAGATGTAGTGGTGGTGCAGAGTATTAGCAAGAATGATGGTAATGATCAAGGGGTCAATCCAAGAAGAAGATATAACAATCGTAAACATATATGTACCCAACATAGGAGCACCTAAATACATAAAGCAAATATTAATAGACATAAAGGGAGAAATGACAGTAACACAGTAACAGTAGGGGACTTCAATACCCCACTTACATCAATGGACAGATCATCCAGACAGAACATCAGTAATGTTCTAAATCATTTCTGAATGCTTTCTAAAGCTGAAAGCATTTCCTCTAAGGTCAGGAACAAGACAAGTATGCCCACTGATGCCACCTTTATTCAGCATAATATTGGAAGGTCTAGCCACAACAATCAGACAAGAAAAAGAAATAAAAGGAATCCAATTTAGAAAGAAAGTAAACCGTAACTGTTTGCAGATGACATACTATATAGAGAAAATCCTAAATGTACCACCAGAAAACTGCTAAAGCTCATTAATGAATTCAGTTGCTGGATACAAAATTAATATACAGAGATCTGTTGCATTTCTATACACTAACAACAAACTATCAGAAAGAGAAATTAAGGAAACAATCCCATTTACCATAACATCAAAAAGAATAAAATACTTAGGAATAAACCTATCCAAGGAGGTAAAAGACTTGTACTCAGAAAACTGTAAGACACTGATGAAAGAAATTGAAGAGGTCATAAACAGATGAAAAGATATATTGTGTTCATGGATTGGAAGAATTAATATTGTTAAAATGACCATACTACTGAAGGCAATCTATAGATTCAGTGCAGTTCCTATCAAAATACCAAGGGTATTCTTTTCACAGAACTAGAACAAATAATTTAAAATTTTTATGGAAACTCAAAAGACCCTGAATAGCCAAAACAAGCTCCCTGACTTCAGACTGTACTACAAAGCTACAGTCATCAAAACAGCATGGTATTGGCACAAAAACAGACCCATAGATCAATGGAACAGAATAAAGCCCAGAAATAAATCCCACACACTTATGGTCAATTAATCTACAACAAAGGAGGCAATAATATACAGTGGAGAAAAGATAGTCTCTTCAGTAAGTAGTGCTGGGAAAACTGGACAACTACATGTAAAAGAATGAAATTGGAACATTCTCTAACACCGTATACAAAAATAAACTCAAGATGGATTGAAGATCTAAATGTAAGACTGGAAACCATAAAACTCCTAGAAGAAAACATAGGCAGAGCACTCTTTGACATAAATCATAGCAATTTTTTTTAATCTGTTTCCTAAAGCAAAGGAAATAAAAGCAAAAATAAACAAATGGTACCTAATTAGACTTAAAAGCTTTTTCACAGCAAAGGAGACCATCACCAAAATGAAAAAACAACCTATTGAATGGGAAAAAAGATTTGCTAATGATGTGACTCGTAAGGGGTTAATATCCAAAATAAACAGCTCATACAACTCAACGTCAGAAAAACAAACAACATGATGAAAAAATGGGCAGAAGACTTGAATAGACATTTTCCAAAGAAGACATACAGATGGCCAGCAGGCATATGAAGAGATGCTCAATGTTGTTAAATCATCAGAGAAACGCAAATTAACACCACAGTCAGGTGTCACCTCACACCTGTCATAATGGCTGCCCTCCAAAAGACCACAAATAAATGTTGGTGAGGATGTGGAGAAAAGGGAACACTGTTGGTGGGAATCTAAACTGGTGCAGCCAGTGTGGAAAACAGTATGGAGGTTTCTCAGAAAAAATAGAAATACCATATGACCCAGCAGTTCCACTCCTGGGTATAAATCCAGAAACAAATGAAAACACTGATTTGAAAAGATATATGCACCCTAATGTTCATAGCATTATTTACAGTTGCCAATATATGGAAGCAACCAGTGTCCATCAACAGAAGAATGGACAAAGCAGATGCAGTATATATGTATATACAATGGAATACTACTCAGCCATAAAAAGAATGAAATCTTGCCATTTGCAACAACAGGGATGGACTTGGAGGGTATTATGCTAAGGGAAGTAAGTCAGACAGAGAAACACAAATACTGTATGATACCACTTATATATGGAATCTAAAAAATAGAGCTAGCGAATATAACAAAGAGGAAACAGACTCTCAGATATAGAGAACAAATTAATGGTTACCAGTGGGCCGGGAAAGAAGGAGATGGGGCAAGATGGGGGTAAGGGGTTAAGAGATACAAACTATTGTGTATAGAATAAATAAGCTACAAGAATATATTGTACAACACAGGGAATGTAGCCAGTATTTTATAATAACTGTATAAATGGAGTATAACCTTTAAAAATTGTGAATTACTGTTATACACCTATAACAAATTATTGTACATCAGCTATATCAATAAAAAAAAGGATGATGGGGCTTCCCTGGTGGCGCAGTGGTTGAGAGTCCGCCTGCCGATGCAGGGGACGCGGGGTCGTG